TTCAGTTTGGTAATGAATGAAATGAGTTTTATGATGCATTCATACCCTTAATCAATGACAAGCATTTGCTCTACCATTTGATTTTCACTTATATACATTTTTTTTAAGATGCTTTGGCATTCAAAACCTTAACACTTTTATCTCATTTATTCATTTTTTACTGGCAAGCTTATCATATAAATCATCCAAAGTTAGACATTGAGAAATATATTTTGGATCAAGAATGACAATAGATTGGGATTTGTATTGACTTTTGTAATCATTATTGCTATTTTGTAGATCATTACATTTAATTTATTTACTTCAAATCCATAAGTTTAGGTTTCGTTTGGGACGGCTTTCTTCCTGCTTCTTAAAACAATGTTATAGTACAAAAATTTTAAACCACAAATATTATTAGTTTACATGTCCCTATTAAGAATGTTTTAAACGTATATCAACATTATTCTAAAGTAAACTGGAAAAGAAAATAATATACGACAAAAACAATATACACAATGATTTAAAATTCTATAAAGATTAAAACATTATTAATTAACATTATAGTGGGTAAATACAGTAAACATTTAATGAAAATTTCAATTAAGTTGAAAATAAATATTCTCTTTTTTAAATACTATTTAAATGAAAAATTATATTGCACATATTAAAATTGTTGTCATTATAACATCTGACATTCTCATATTCTTTACCAACTATTTGTTGATGAAAATGACATGCATCATTAATAAATCTTGTCATATTTAGCTAGGATACTGAGAAATTAAATTTCCTTATGCTTATACTCTAAAAAAAATTTCAATCAAGTTTTTTGTTTTCTACTACATTGCTTCTCAGCCCAAAATTCTATCTATGATGGCATTTTATTGATTCATATAGCTTTTTTTTTTTAATTAAAATCCCAAATAAGTTAAAGAGCAAACACTTCTAGTAGTTCATGATACAGATGTTAAGTTAGTTGTTTAGAAATTAAAAGTAAATTTATAATATGCAGATTTTATGCCACACAAGCTAACTTGATGGAGAATCTTTCAACTTGTTAGTTCTTTTTATTTTTATTTTTTCAACTTGTTAGTTCATCATTACCGTTAAAGCTCAAACTAGGGTATATCGAAATTATAGAATTTCAAATGATGAAAACAAAATTATAATCCGCTTGCATATAAGCGCGTCTATTCCTTAGCTGTCTCAAAAGCTTCAACTATGTTTGCTTCAAATTTTTAGCAATATTGTTAGAATGTGTGTCATTTAGGTTTGGAACACTCATAAGGGCTTGGATGCTCAAAATAAATGTTGTAATCTATTCGACAGGAGTCCACATTTCCTTCAAAAATCTAGACATATCCAACCTAGCTTATCAATGTTGAGATGATATATTTTAGTAAAAAAGAGGACATTCATAGCAGCTATTGGATATTCTTCATGGAGAAAATGTTCTTTCTTTAGAACTCCGCCATCATATGGTGATTTTGACAACCGAATAATCATCACATTAAAGAATCGTATGTTCTCTTCCGAAGGCGACAATGGATCCCTGGAACTAGCTCACTAAGGCGGCACTACATTTACTTTATAATCATACAGGGCAAACTGCTATTTGCCATATCCTCAATTAGGGTTTTCTCTTCCGCGAGTGACAGGGGGAGGGGGGAGCTTCTTCAATGATTTTGCTCGTCTTTGTTGATTCATTTTCTGCATTTTCTTTATTTCTTTGTTGAGCATCCTGAGGTGAATCCTCGAGGCAATCTATGAATCCAGCATGCACATATCGACAAATAAATGTTATAAAACAAAGAAATGAAAAAAATGGAGAAAATGAAACATGGACAAGTAAAATCATTGAAGCATCTTACCAAATCAATTCTCTTCATCATGTCCCCTTCACTCGCGAAAGAGCAAACCCTAATTGAGGAGATGGACAATAGCAAATTTTCCCATAGGATTATCAAGGAAATGCAACATCTTCTTAGTGAGCCAGCTCCGGGGATCAGTCACCATCATCGTAAGAGAACATGCATTACTTTAATGTGATGATTCTTGGGCGGTAACATTCTTTATATGAAGGAGTTTTTTACGTTTGAACTTTTTCTCCTTGAAGAATATCCAATTGCTGCTTCAAATGTATGCTTTCTTACCAAAATATACCACCCAACATTTATAAGCTAAGATGGATATGTCTGGATATTTTGAAGGATAAGTGGAATCCTTCTCTATATATTAGAACAATTCTGTTAAGCATCCAAGCCCTTTTGAGTGCTCCAAAGCAAGATGACCCACTTTCTGATAATAATGCTAAACATTGGAAGACAAACAAAGCTAAAGCTATTGAGACGGCAAAGGAATGGACTCACTTTTATGCAAGTGGACCATAAATGTGTTTTCATCAAATGAGAAATGTGTCATTTTATTAATATTACACATATATGTACTATTATTTAAACACTATGTGATTGTAGCACATAGTTATGCATTTGTGTTTTATATAAAATATGACACATTAATATAAATACATAGTTGTACACTACTATTAGTAGATATCTCTAATAGATTTTATATATATATATATATATTATTTCTTGGGTTCTATTGGATCCAAATATGTTTGTTGATGATACACATCCTACTTGCAGGCTAACTATTAGGAAATAATTTGGGAACTTGTATGAGAATGAAAAGAAGAGTCCACCATTGAAGATATATAATACGAGAGCTAAAGATGCCAAAAGATCTCAATTTGCCAAAAGGTCCCAATACCTCTCTTCACCCTTTATTTATAAGAATTTGATGGCTACTGTAAACAATACATCTAAAAGAAGAATAACAAATATAATGTTCGATGATTCTCAATACTAACTACCCTAGACATATTTCACCTCCCAACTAACTAAAAGGAGAATGGCTCTATATAGCTTTGATGATATGCCCCTGGGTGAGTTCAATAATGGCGAGTAGATATGAGTAAATGTGTATAGGCAAGCTCATTGGTAGGTACCTAGTTCAAATAGCTTGTGAATATTATGTGTCTTGGAGTCGCTGATGACCTGTGAAGGAGATTTATACCTCCTAAGGAAGGTGAGTAAATTGATGTTGCAGGGTGGACGAGCTTAATGCTTAGATTGTGACGATAGGGTGAGCTCAGATTTTCCTTCATGAGACGAGTTGCTAGTCCATGATCTACGATGACCTTTGATTTCCCTCATGTGGAGCAATTTCGCTCTGAGTTTTCAGGCGAGTGAGATTTGAAAGTCCTTGGGTCAGTTCATCTATGGGGCTCGCTAGGTGTGAGTCCCTTTATAACAATCCATTGACTACCTGTTAAGTGCCTAAAAAGACATACGCATATACAAGTCCAAAGCCATCTGCCTCGATAATAATGCTGATTGAAAGATGCACATAATTGGTAAGAAAAAAATGTCATATGTTAGGTTGATTTGAATACTCTTTATTGTACGCTCAATGGTACATTTATAGTAACATAAGTTCAGTAATATCGTAAGAAATATTATTTGGCTTGAGTTATTATTATTATTATTATTATTATTGTTGTTGTTGTTGTTGTTGTTATTGTTACAAATAAGTAATAAATATAATTATTTGTCCAAATGTTAAGAGTACAACACATGATATCTCATATAAAAACTAAAATCTATAATATTATTTACAAAATGACTTTATGAAAGTGATTCATAAAGAACTTCTATGAAAATTATTCATATTATATTACCATCAAAAAGTCAACGTACGTTTCAGATTTTATTTTATATTAAAAAAATTCATATTTATTGCTATAATATATTCTAATTATTCAGAATATCTTTATTTATTATATTTTCCTTTTTTACTCTCTTTCATTGCCTATATATAGGCACTTTTATATGAACTAATTATTCAATTCAGCAATGAGCATGCCTTTTATGCTCTTGAAGCCTTCCATTATCTTCAGGTCCTTTCATCTCTTAATTGAATTATCGAAATTATTTCTTCATTTTGATTAGTTTTACGCATTCTTGATTTTGTGAATGTTAATTATTTATTAGTGTGACAAGCTCTATTCAGCTTAAGCAAGAAGAAATCAGCTAATAATGCCTATTTGTTTAGCATTAAGATATTAATTAACTTATTAGATAAATATCATTAATTTACTGATTATGAAGAGAACCATACTTATACTCTAAAAATTCTTTCTAATAGTTCATATGATTTATATCTAAAACACTGCATGAAAGTTAGCTATTACACACGAAAAATTTCAGCCAGAAATTCAAGTAGATTTTACATCAGAAGTTTTCCGGCAACGGTAATTAATTAATACAACTAAGAAATTTTTTGTTAGAAAATTTACTTAATTTCCGATAAAAAATCCGTCAGGATTGTTGTCGGAAAAAGCCCTATTTCATCCCAAACCCGTTCCCCTCTCCCAGAATTATGGTTGGTGTTGCTGCTCGTTTTCTCGTTGTGTATCTTGCTAAGGTGCTCTAGGTTTTCGACGATGTCAGGTAGTGGCGGCATTTTCCACAAAGGGAGGGTGGTAGGGGACTACATGATCGGCCGGCAGATTGGCTTTGAAACTATGATTGGCTGGCATATTGGCTCTGAAACTTTCTTAGTTGTGTGGCTAGTGTGGCACCATGTGAACGGCGCAAAGGTGGCCGTGAAAGGGATAGTCATGGAGATGCTCAGTAAGAAGCTGTGAGAATGCCTTCTTTTGGAGACCGTAATCCTCAAGCGCATTAAACATCCCAACGTCGTCGCATTGTACGACATCATTGTGCATATCCTATTCTTCATGCAGCTCTTTGCCCTTTTGAGCTTACCCTAGTTTTTCTGCTAATTATCAGTCAATTCGTGAAATTTTTTGTTTAAGTAGGGTTTGAAACAGAAGTCCTAATCACGTGTGTGAAATGGGAAGATGATTGAAAGGTTCATGCTTGAGGAAGATATGCATTTCTATGGAATGCAACATAGCCTTTATTGGGAGACCGTAGCAAATCTTGTGGTATATGAGGCCTTAAATTATTATAGATGACCATGTTAGGCGGTGCCTTGATTTTATGCCAAAGAAGAACAAAGAAACAATTGTATGATATGCTAGAATTCTCGTTTGATATGCCATGCAAATACAAAGTGCAATATATTGATGGAATGTCCTATAAAATCCGTAAAGGATTAGGTTTTGTAGGAGGTCCCATCAACATATTGCACTTTGTATTCGCATGGCATATCAGACGAGCATTCTGGCATATCGACATTGGGATGTTCAATGTGCTTGAAGATTAATTACAATCTCTGAAAGGAGGCTTTCACGTAGCTTCTTACTGAGCTTCTCCATGACGATCTCTTTCACCGCCACCTCTGCGCCGTTCACACGATGCCACGCTAGCCACACACCCAGATAGATCCAGAGCCATTCTGTCGGCCGATCATGTAGTCCCCCACCACCCTCCCTCTGTGAAAAATATTAAAATAAAGAACATATAAGAGATAAAAAACTATAATATTTATAAAATTCATTAATAAAATACTAAGTTCATCATCAATCATAGAGGGTGAGAAGAAAATATTTACCTGATGACTTGAAATGAAACTATCATTCCTATTTAAATGTGATTATTTATCCTTATAACAAGATCATCTCAACAACTGAACTACCTCTCTTTCTTTTTTCATGTTTTTTGTGAGAATAATTAATATCCCTTAGAACAAAGTCTTTTATCCTTCTAATAGCTAAGAGAAATTTAAGACTCTCATAATCTATTTTGAAGGCTTCATAAAACTAAAAAATCATGTCATTCACATCTGCCAACTCAAAACTAACTACATATAGTACTTATAACATTTCCAACTTGATTAATTATATTCCATTATCAACTAATTACATTTACATATAATTAATGGGGAGAGAGCTTGAGGTAAATAGATAATGAAAAATCTAGTTATGTAGTGCAAATGTGCCAAGTCTAGTTAGCCAAAATCACTTATGCTAGCTAATATGAGAGTATAATTGATCAAGTTAGAAATGTTAGTGAAGACTTATTTGTAATTATATGCAAATGTTAGTGAAGCCTTTTGCTCCTATGCAAATCCTTCCAATTTGTTCAATCTTAACAAAAAATACATTTGTGGGTATTCTGCTAAACTTGTGTGATACTACTTTGGCGAAAATCAAAATGCTCCATGAAGAAGGTGGAAGAGCTAAAGGAGAAAATAGATTTTTTTTAAAATATTGTGGAGATAAAATTGGAATATTAAAAACTTAATGATAGTATTATTTGATTGTGGGCCAATTTCATCCAATAACTATTAGTTATCAGTCGTTTAAGACTTGAAGTTTACTTAAGAAGAAAAATAGTGGTTAGAGCTTAAAATAAACTCCATAATGTAATACTCAATTGACCTAAATCTAAAAATATGCGCATGCATCAATGCTGCTACCTCCATCTCTTTGCCACAGGCTCTGGAAAAATCCTTCAAGATACTTCAGTCTCTTCCCAAATACTGAACAATAATTCTCACCTTGCTTTTGTTCCCAAAATAATTTTAATGTATTTTTTTAATATAGTTACCATATTTCCTCACCATTTCTTCTTAAATAGCTTCCACGATTATTGCAATATTTTTATCGATGTTCTAGTTTCCATCACCACTGACACTGATGGGGTGCTCCAATTATGCAAATCTGATAGCAAAAAAATTACCATCATCTTGATCAAGTGTAGATGTCACGACCCAACCCGACCGGGACGGATCCCGCTCGCATCGGGTCGCGACGGAACTATTGAAAATTCAGGATATAGTTTTTGAATTTGCTTCAGACTTTCTTTCAAATATTAAACAGACAGAAAAACACAGAGCTACTATAAGCATCCAAATGCCGAACAGTTCATCTATCTTTTCTTTCATCAAAACGATCATATACAATACAATTCATGGCTTTAGACAGAAATAACAGAACATAACAGAAAAGTCATAACTGTACCAAAAATCAAAAGTACAAAGTACCTAATCTCAGATCAGACACAGAACTTCTAGTCCAAGACCTCCTTCCTTTTCCCAGAACCTAAAAACCACGCAGAAAGCAAGGATGAGCTAACAGCTCAGCAAAACATCACTCATCAATCAAAATAATCAAAAATTCACATCAGAAACTACATCAGAAAATAGCCGTACGGAAATCGTAGAACAGACAGAACAGATACTTGATTAACAGAAATCAAACAACTGATACAGAAAATTGAAGTCATTTCAAATCGGATATCATAAGGCTTTCAATTCACAGAGCAGATAGAATCATACATAAATTCAGAAATCATATATCGGATAATTTATAAAACATACCAGATAAGTCACATAACAGATTATCAGATATCAAACATCAGATTCCCTGACCCTGATAAAATCTCAACGAATTCTGGCCCCTTATGCCTCCCTTTCCTGACACAGACAGAATCTCGACGGATTCTGGCCCCTTATACCTCCCTTCCATGACACAGACAGAATCTCGACGGATTCTGGCCCCTTAAGTCTCCCGTTGTGCTTATAGCACCAAAACAGATCAGATATACAGAATTTCCGGAACATAACTTATTTTCATATTTCAAAGCTCATTTCATATTTCAGATTTTCTCTGACACAGACAAAATCTCAAAGGATCCTGGCCCCTTATAACTCCCTTCTGATAACATACAAACATTTCATTTCATTCAATGTATCAATTCAGAAAAATCAGAATTCGTACGAAAAATCGGCGGCATAACGGCAGTATACGGAATTTACACAAAATTTACAGATTCAGAAATTTACCCAATTACCACAGAATATCCACAACAACATATATGACTTTATTGAAGTTTATGACAAACTCCAAAAATGAAGAGTAAATTAGTAAGGGGTTTTAACATATGCAACTAAATAAAAAGTTGAAAATATAATAAATTGTTATTTTACTTTAAAAAACAAGATTTTTTTTTCTTTTTTAACAATCAAAAAGTGATTTCTACAATCAAATTTATTCTAAGATAAGAGTACAAATAGTAGATGATTTTCATTGATTTTTCTCAAATAGATAAATAATCAATAGAAAAGAAAGTTGTTATTCCAATTCTGCACAAGACCACTAATGAGTAGTCGGTGACGCAGTAGGGGATTGATATGTAAAACTTAATTAATGAAATATTGGTTGTAATCAAGGGAAATACCTATGGTATATAGATAGGCATTGATTATAAATGACATTGATTACAAGGTTTGCAAAGAATTCAAAAAGGAAGTTCTGAATAATTGGAATGGGTGAGAGAAGTTAGAAAATGGAGTTATGGAGCATAGGTTGCGGCGTGATACTAATGTTTCTCAAAATCAATTTGGATTCATGCCGGGTAGGTCGAGCATACTAGTCAATCCTAAATTGAGAATCTAATTGCTAATAGAATGAGCGACGTGGTATCTTGCTTTACATGCATGCAATGCTCTTTCATACACATAAGGATGTCAATGATATACTTTCATACACACAAGGATGTCAATGAGATAAATGAATGGGTGAGTAAAGAGAACCGAAACTCAAGCTCTATTTATAAGAAAGATACTAACTTCTTGAATTCTTCTTCCTTGTACATGTTCTTCATAAATACAGGTTATTCATATCTGCTATAATATACCAAAAAATAGGTTGTCCATCTCTTTGATTCAAAGTTCATTCGAGACAACATGGATAGATTTATCACAGGTTGCTATTGGAATAAGTTAAACCTATATTTATTTTATACATTTGGTCATTTGTCTTTTTAAACGATGTTTTTTAATTTATTTGGTCAGCTATATTGTGATTTATATATTGGAGAGAAATATACTATCAATCTAATTTATAATTATTATGCACAGCTTCTAAATAAAATGGACCAACATATTTTTTTTTCTTTATTTGATCAAGTTATGACAATCTTGGGCATTTTATCATAGCGAATATTATATTCTTGGTGTGTGTTGGCGGACGGGGGGAGGGGGGTTAAAATCCTAGCAAAAGGCATTTGGTGCTCGTGTAATTGAGCTAGCATATTATATATATATATATATATATATATATATATATAGCATAATATTCCACCTTTTCTTGTAACTCCTTCAGAGACTAAGTGACTGATGAGCTATACGTGAGAGCTGAAGCAAAGAAAAGGAAGAGCTAGGCCTGGAGGCTTGCTTATGGTTAAAAATTCTATTTTTTTCCTAATTTCTCCAACGAATTACATTTACATTAAGTTTGATAGGCTAAAAATTGTATACGAGTAATTATTTTGAGATTATTCAATTAGTTTTTAATGTTAAATTAAAAAATAATATAAATTGAGAAAATCAATGTTTTAATTAGGCTGAATGCAAAAGATTTAGATGTGATAGAAGTAAATAAATCCATTTCAAAGCGCATTCATTGTTGTCGATGTGATTCTATCTCTAATATAAGTAGCAAAGCATTCCAAAGTTTAATGCCTTTTAATCCCTATGATTAAATTGGATCCGAGTATGTATGTTAGTAGACAATGTTTTATATTGAGCATGTTATGTTTATATCAACAAGTCTATTACATTTTATATGATCATATGTTCAAGATGATCATTATAATTTCGAATAGAATTCAAGTCGCAATATTGGCTGATGAATTATTAACTTTTACATGTCATGCTATTCATTTGATGCATGTTGATGCTAGTTGATTAATAGCTTCTACAAAACAATGCTAAATATTTACAATGCTTATGATGTTCATGCTAAAAGAGAGAGAGAGAGAGAGAGAGAGAGAGAGAGAGAGAGAGTCTATGAAAGGTAGTGCCATATAACTATATAAGATAGATTGACAAATTAGGATGACCAAGCCAAGGAAGAGAAAAAGTTCTTACAAGATGAACATTGGTACGAACCAAAAGGGGATCCCAACTCTTGATATCTGTCATGTTAAAGTATTTCAATACTTATCAAGGGGTTGTTTAATAGCTGCTATGTATGAGCAAATCCAACCGTTATGAACCAGCAAGCTGGGTACAACCATATAATATATAGCAATGCCAAAACTTAGACATGCATAATATGACACTTCTAAGACTATGTCTAATAAGAATGAGAAAAGAATTATAGAAGTCAACTAGTAATTTCATACTAGCAATTGATTAGCATAGTTGCATTGAATCATTGTAGACTGGACAATTATATTTTTCATTCATTGCAAACATTCTTCCTTATATTTATGATTATGCTATTTTCCTATTTAATTGTTGAAGCATGATTTAATTTAAGAATAATACACATACCTAGCATCTATGATTATTTAATATGCATATCAGTTCAAATATTAGTAAGAAATTGTATTCTTTTACCTTATATTTTAAACAATATCGGAGCTATTTATTCCACTGAACTTTATAGCTCACTAAAAATTATTCTGGTGGTTGTTTCAAGAAAGGAAAAAGAGTGTAGCGGGTTGTAGTAAGATGACTGGATTTATCCTTAATATGTTTTTTTATATAGAATTTTGATGCATCGTGTACGATATAAATTTAAAACACGGGTATGAATTAATTATTTATTGATGGATTTTGTTGTGTGCATTTCCATATTGATGGTTGTGATAAATCTACCAAATGCTTATAAAAAGAGTTCTATGTTTTTGGATAATCTAGGCAAACATATTTTCTATCAATTAATCCTACTTACTAAAAATCAGGATCAAGATGTGTGTTGGTAAGAAACATGTCTGACTGGATTGCCTGAATTTGCCACGTAATGTGCTTGACTAATATGTTTCAAAATAAGATGCGACACTCAATCAACAAGAACATTTGAACAAGCAAACCAAAACAAAGAAGGCAAAGTTGGCAGTTATCTTATGAACAACAATAAGTTTGTGAAAAATATGGCATTGCCCAAGTTCTTTGTAGGATGAGGCTATCAACCAACTAGAAAGTCTGATATCAATAATAAACGTATCAAATAGCATTCTAAGGCAAAAATCATTTACCATTATCATAATGACACGAAAAATTTTGCTTGCATTCATTTGACATGGCACATTCATCGTCCTCTTTTAAGGCCAAGCTCCTTTCATAGATGGATCTTAGTCCATTTGTTTTCCTAGTTTAAAGAGAACTAACTCTCAAGCATAAGCATAAACCAATCATTTAGTATGATACACGATAGCAACATGCTTCAACATGGCAGAAAACTCCACAAGTTGGGTCCCATTACTACTTTGACAAGCCTCAATCGATACAAAAATTATCAAAGTGATCGATATGAATAAATTCCATAGGTTTATCAAGTTGGTTGATGACTAGCTTCCCTGAGTCAACGTTTGGTCTTATTGTTTGGTTTAACTATCCAAGCCCGAATCTCTACTTTGGATCATAACACAAATGTTATAGGCAAAGCTTCAAGCATTACATGAATTAAATTGTGTTTAAGAAGTGAAGGAAAAATCTGAACGAGTCATCCATCATACCTTGTAATAACTTAATAATGATAAGAATCATTGGTATAAATGTAATATGAAAGAATATCAAAGTAAATCCAATTTAGCCAATAGATTAAACCTGAAACCAACCCAATCTAGACCACTGAGAGGTGGTTCTATCAATTCAAGATTAGCTCTGATGTTATTCTAATTTGAGAAACTAATTAAAGATGTTTGGTCCTTGTCTTACACAAGAACCATGCTAATCGATTTGATCTAAATTACCCCATCTATCCTCAATATGGAAGCATCCCCTCTGCAAATGTAAAAGAAAGATTGTACATCTAATCCTCCACAAAAACTACATTTGTGAGAGTTTCAAGCATATGGTTATGCTCACTACCACTTTATTCCAAAATAGCACCATATTCATGGGATAGAACAAATTTATACAAATTCAAATAAAGATAATAAAGTTTGATATCAAAATAAAAAATTACCAACGAGAAGAACAATGAGTAATCTCAATACACTGGTAAATGATGATGATGATGAAAACTAGTAAACACAATTTGTGATTCGGGCAAAAGACACTAGGTGCCAATTTCTCACATAGAAACATATATGGAAATCAAAATACCTGGCATGATAAATCCCCAATAAGAGTAAGAAATGCAGATGTCAAAGCCTTTGTTACCACTGGGTGCTTATTAAGAGCTGTTAGGTACCTGTCAAACTTGTACAAAAACAAGTTAAAAATGCATATTTTCCTCTTAGAAGCATCTAAAACCAATTACTCATGATGTTGAAAAAGTCAAAAGCATATGTTGAAGCAGAAAAGGTAGGTTAAACAACAGAATAAAACTAAAGTTAATGAGAATACAACATCAACATCTAATGTCTGATAGTATAACTATCAGAATAAAACTTTAACATTAAGAATGTAAATAAACAGCCTAAGATAAGTAGTAGTGCCTGAAATGACATGAATCAAAATCTAAAACAAGAATATAAAGTGCACCTTAAAAAATAACAACAAAATCTTTATACAAGTTTAAAATTAATTAAAGTTGCATCTAGCAAATATGCCCAATCAAAAATTGGGTAGGCAATCTTACCATTAATCAATATTAGAGTTCCAAAATCCCATATTACTCTGCTGGGAGAAATGAATATGCACCTGTGTTAACCCTATAGCTAATTGTGTATGCAATCTTATTATTGATCAATATCGTTGGTATAACTCCCTTTTTAAAGTGATGCAGAGGATGATGGGAAGATGAATTATAAATGACCTATTTACATTGCTTACAATTGCCACGATGGTGAGCATAATTTTCCCATGTAAGACTAATATTATAGCATTTTTTAATAATTAGTTGGCCGTATGACCTTTGAGCTATACAACCATGATGATACATGAAAATTTGATAAGAATTTATGGTCATCCTTAAAATCGTATTGCAATTTCCCTATTGGTCAAGACTCCTCAAGATTTTTAGGTGGTTTAGAAGTGAGAGTAATGTCTCGGATTGCAACTTATGTGATAGTCAAGATGCAAGAGTTTTAGGGTGTTATAGAAGTGAGACTAACATATAGAATGAAAAATGAGCTACTTCTCACTGGAAGAAAATGAATTGTTGGTTTAGGAGTTTGTTGGTGGTCGTATTAGTAGGGGTTGCCTTGCATTTATTTTTATTATTTTTTTTTATATGAAGCAAAAGAAACATAGTAAATTTTTGGAGGATTTGAAATTTCCCAAAGCATATGTTTTACTTGCATTTATACATTGCCCAAATCAGGCAATTTCCAAATCTCGCGCTATGTGAGCTCATGATTCCCTCTATCGTTGCCATCGCAAGTCTCCATTACAGATCATTGTGACCATTGCTTTTGCCCGGCACACGTCACTGCCCCAACAGCTGCCAACTGTTCACTACCTGTGCTCGCCCTCGTTCAACATTTCAATGCTTTAAAATGTGACAAATCAAACAAAAAATTTTCAATACATTTTATTTGCATCCAACCAAATAACCCTTGGATTCCTAAAATACATGCACTTCAATTACTCGCTATTTCTAGAATGCGTGTAGTTTAAAAACATCCAACCAATGAACCAACTAGCGCCTTAAAGAGTAACTACAAACCAGACTTTGTCACAGAAATTATGCAATATCAGTGCATAAAAAGAAAAGTAGCTGATGCAAAGAATAGCATGCATTCTTTTACAAAAATCTATGAAACACAAACTGCAAGAAAAACAGAGAATATTAACAACCTAACAACAATTTATTCAAAACAATCAAAACCAAAAGAAAACGGAACGAATAACAGCACCCAAGAAAAAAATTCAAGGAATGTGAATAGAAAAACATGATCGAAATTACAAGGAGAAGAAAATAAAATTGAAAAATCTCCATTACCATGATAAAAAGGGCCAACCATTCCCCCCGTTTTCCTCCCCGCCCCCGCCGCCATTACCACCATCTCCAGAACCCTTAAACCCATCGTCGCCTCCAGAACCCCCATCCGCAACCGCCTGAAGCATAACGAAATCAAATCTCTCACGCTCTAATCTGGAATAAACAGATCCCCAAACCCTAGAACAAGCTCCCAGCATTGGAGTTTGGAAGCGGCCTAATGGAAATTTGAATCTACACAGAGTTTGCGGGACCCGATTGGAATTGATTCGACGGATATCGTGGAGATTGGATGAGAGAGCAGACAGAGGGCGGCAGGATTCAAAGGCGAGAGGGTTTCTGAGAAGCACTGCCACCATTTTCGGTCCGTGCCGGAGCATCGTCGTGGGTTTTTTTGAGGTTTATCGAACTGCAACAACTCAGCCACCAACAGCTGAGGATTCACATCAGCTCGGCCGGCGGAGATATTGTTAGGTTGGAACCATTTTTATAGGCGAACCTATCCCGTCTCGTCGGATGAAGAGATCAAAATTATTATTTTCTCTGCCCTCAAATCCTTTGCCGCCCCAATTCCTACATGGACGGACCTTTAAAAACTCTCTAAGTATTACTTTAATTTCTAAAGCCCTTTGGTATAACCAATTTTTCACCTATATCTCTTTGCAAGATTTTTTATATTTAAAATCATCACCAAACAGACTCAAAATACTTATGCCTCATATTATTCATCTGTCAAAGATATTTTATAAGCAATAATTTCTATGGATAATTATTCTTGATTTTTACCCTTTGAGAATATTTAAGAACTTCGAAAAAAACATCTATTTTGTGTTAAGCTTGACATGTTTAAAGTTCTTTTTTGCATGGGTTTGAAAATTGGATGGGATCGTCTAGTTCGACTGATTCAATATTGAACTGGATGTATAGTCAGTTCGATCATTCTTAAAAATCAGCCTAGCATCAAGCAGGTTTGAACCATTAGTTTAATTGACCAGCCGTTGAACGGGTCCCAATTTTTAAGAACTGGATGGTTCAATTGATCTGGATATATCATCATAAATTTATCTTTGATCGGGCACGAATCTCTATACAAAATTGAATTGAAAGCTTTCAAAATTAAATATAAGACCATTTAAACTCCAATTTCAACAAACTTATAGTCAAATTGAACGTCTCAGAAAGACGAACCCTCCATCGCCTGCCAACTATGATCCCATCAACCAAATAAATATGTAAATATTGATTCTTTCAATTCCCATCATGTAATATATTTTATATAGTGTACATTTACTACATCAAGCCAAGGCCTTCCCCAAAGGAAGGGCCTCATTTGTAATCGACTACAAACAATAGTTGATTCATTCAAAGTGGGCCTGGCCCCATGGTTTTTCCCCTTTACAGGGGTTTCCATGTAAAAATTATAGTGTCTTTTTATCTCGTATGAACGCTACACCAACTCTTATTTGTTTGTGTGCTGGATCTTCATATAAAGCTAAAACGTTAAACTACATTATGCCCTACCACCATGAACTTTCCAGGACGAAATAGTTTGACGTCGTCTATGGGAACATCGTTCCTGATTGGGGGGAGGGGGGCAACTTTTGCTCCCATCTCAAAAGGTCGTTTATGTCAACGTCTTAACAACAATCATTGTTGCATTAATTTCATGGGAATCATATGTACGTGGACTGGTGGGAAATATTGACTATAATCTTGGTTAAAAAATTTCTCAAAATTTTCCAATATCTAAGATAATATCAATGGAAACTATCTTTCATAAAGCTTCTAGCAAAGGTAAGAATGCTTCCAATAAATTATAAGCTTTAACAGTCCTTAATTGGACTTCTACTCCTTCAAGGTCTTAACTTGAACCTCAAAAAGGCAACAACAGTATAAATATATATCATTTTTCACATTTGATTCGTGATATAAGTGGCATTCGCCTTCTCCTAGTCAAGGCATAATTGATCTCTAGGGGATTCGATTGGACCACTCCCACACAGGTTAACGTCATCGAGTAATACTCTCACAAATAATCTCGAATAGGTCATATATTCTTGGTGAATTCTCTTAACCTCTTCTATACATGTTAACATCATCGAAAAAATGCTTTAGGGGAGTGTGAAGCTCGTATTGATTGCTTGAAGAAGCATGTTACATTATTTCTATGCAATAAAAATCCTTTGGTGAGTTCATATGTGGGGCCCACTAGGTGTGAGTCCTTTTTATGGCAACTCGTCAACTACCCATTAGGTGCCTGAAAGGCATATGCAAGTCTACAAATCCAAAGCTATCTACCTCAATTATTATGCTTATTGAAAGATGTGCATAGTTAGAATGAAAACAAAAAAAATGCCATATAATCGGTTGGCTTGAATACTCTTCATTTCATATCGCACAATTGTAAATTCATAGTTACATAACTTTAGTAGTGTTCTAAGAAATATTACATGACCCTATTATTATTATTATTATTATTATTAGTTGCAAATGTAATTATAAGTCCAAATACTAGAATATAACAAATGATATCCCATATAAACACCATAACCTGTAGTATTATTCATGAAATGACTTTTTATGAAAGCAATCCAAAAATAACTGTGCTACAATTACTCATAATATTCATTATCATCAAAATATCAAAGTACATTTCATATTTTTATAGTAAACATTAATAAAATTTATTACTATAATATATTATCATTATTGAGAATATCTTTATTTATTATATTTTCCTTTATTATTCTCTTTACTTCACTATATATAGGCAATTTTATATCAACATATAATTCAATTCAATAAAGAATATCTCTTTCATGATCTCTAGGCCTTCCATGGTCTTCATGTTCTTAATATCTTAATTATCTTAATTATATAATTAATTTATGTAAATTATCTCTTGATTTTGGTTAGTTGTGAGCATTCTTGATTTACATATGCTAATTAGTTAATAGTTGGAAATTAGTTCATAATGCCCTATTGTTTAACATGAAAATAATAAACTTAATTGAAGTAAATTTCTTGAATCTAATAATTAATTCTGAAGAGAACAATACTTGCACTATAAAAAGTTATTTCAAATAGCTCAGATGATTTATATATAAAAGTTATCTCACATTAACATCATTGTATATTGCATATGCTCATTCATTTCTACCAAATTTAGCATCATATTTCTCTATCTTTGCCTTTTCTTTAAAATTCAATTTTAGACTTTGTTTGGGATAACTTTTTTGCTTATTTCTAAATCAGCTTTTTAGTTTAAAAAAATTTTAGTTTGAGAAATTTTATATTAAAAAAAATTATTTAAAATTTTATGGTTCCATAGAATTACGATATTTGGCTAACGAGAATGTTACATTCACATCAAGCTCTCATTGTGACTGCTGATCCTATAAGAAGAATGACGCCATTGAAGAAAGCGAAGAAAATTATGATCTCCAGCTAATCACTATTTGAATATCCTAAAAGTCAAAATTATTTAGAACGAGAAAATAAAAGTTTGAGACTTAGCGTACCTTTAATATATTGAAGAATTCTCTTGG